CATAACAATCATGCCAAGTGAGCCACTGGGACCACTGGGACCACTGGGACCAGAGGAATGTCCCAGATAAACTGCTGAGATGCAACAACAGCACCTTTCATCAAACCAGTCGCTGACAGGAAGCTGATGTAACAGTGATGGTGTGGAGTCCTCAGTAAAAGACTTCCACAGAAGGACAAACATGCCCCTCCACAGAGACAAGTCAGGGCAGGGTGGGGTGTACCTTAAATGGGATGCCTCAGGTCAGTGTCGTTGGTGCTGCTGTGTGTTCGTGTGTGCTGTGCTGTGTGAGTAACTCTTCTTCATGATGCTTTCTTAAACTGAAGCCTGTAAACTTTCACACAGAGTTAAATCCAGGTCTGTTTTTGGACCGTCTGGATGTCTAACAGCTGACAGCAGGGACACAGTAACTCAAAGGTCTCACAGGATTCTCTTTACAACCTCGGTTCTTCATTTCTAATGTGAAACACTGATCAACAACGGCGCTGGAGTCTCTGTATGTAGAAGATGATTTTGCAGCAGAGCAGAGAGATCAGACGGAGGAATGTATTCAGCTGTTTGTTTAGTTATTGTTCATTTCTCATCATAAAGAGGAAACATGCTAACCACCGTATGATTCATTCAGCCGCATATTTGAGATGTTTTGTTCTCTGCTGTCTCCTCGGTCACTGTGTGCTCTACAAACAATCAAATGTTCACAACTGAACCACCAACAGTCCTTTCCTCAACAGTCTGTTTACACAGTGATAACATCTCGGAGAGGACACTGTCTCTGAACACAGGTGCTAACGTGTTAGCACGAGTGTGTGACGACATCTAGTCATAGCTTTACATGTAACTCTGTGCTTTTACATATGTGGTAGTTTTCACACAGTAACTTATTTGTTTTGGCTGGGTTGGTGTGGCCTGACTGAGGAGAGTTTTATATTTAGAAACCATCACATCCTCTTAATTATTGCAGTCTTTTCAGAAACCCACGGGTCCTTCAACACTGCCAACTTGTTCAGGAAGAACCTAAAGCTGCTCTGACTCTTCTAGCTCCCTTCCCCTTTCTTTCCCGTGATCTTTTCCACACTGCGTTGTGCTGGCCTGGTCGATGGGCCTCATCATGGTGCACTTTGCTGGCCTTTCAGAAGTGTGTATTATGCAGATCAAGGGCACACCTTCACAAATGTGCGCTTGCACAAAGCAGAGATAGCAGAGAGGGTACTGAGCGCCTTATTCCACTCAAAGATGGCGACGTACTGTTGCTGAGTCATGCTGCTCGTGTTGCCCTGCATTCCTCTCGCCTGCTGTCCTGTGGGGGGAAGTCTGCCGTCTGCAGCTTCACACACATTTCAAACAGCAAAGAACGGATCAACAGATTTTTGTCTTTAGCCCAGAAAATCATTACATCGTGCATAACAGATGAGTTTAGCAGCAGGCACACATGTGTGTGGGGTACTCTGGTAAGTGTGTTATTTAAATCCTCAGAAAGACAGAGGAGGAGGGCAGCAGCCATTGTCTAATGAGGAACACACCGGAAGCCGTGTTTTCTCAGAAGAGTAAATAAAAGAACCCGCAGCAGGCTGATGAGGAAGTGTTTTGGTTTCCCCCCTCATGGCAGCTGTTGTATGTGACCTCTGACTTTGATGATGTATTTTTATCTCCTTTGCTTCCTTTAAAGAAAATCTGCTAAATTGTTAAACTTTAAACAGTGAAGGTGTGAGAGATGCTGGAGAGACTGGTGCACGTCTGACAGTCTGTGGACTGCAGTGCTTCCTTATCGTCCTTTAGTTACTGTGACTTTAATAATCAGAGTACGC